CACCTTTTTTCTACCTTTGTGTCTGTCTCTTTTACATCTGAGAAACACTCTTCTGTTCCCTGCTCCCACTCGGGTGACCCACTGGGGCAACAAGTCCATAGTCCTACCTACCAGGAAGATAGGGAAACATAAGACCTCCATGCTAATGAGAGAGTTGATTAAAGATCTTTTCAAACTACTTAAGCAATACAGCACATTTATAAGTCATTCACTTATAATGGGCAGTAAACACAACATGTGGTATCACCCTTTAAAGCTAATTAACCAAAATAATTTCAAAATAATCTTTCAGTAACTATTCTAGCTTTGAACACTCTTTAACCTTTCGTTGCCAACTTCAACTCGCACTTCCCAACCAGGAGGTGAAGCTACGAATTCACATGGCGCTCGATCCACAGTTTTCCCCTTTATTTTACTTTATCTTTGTTTTCCAATTTTGTCCAAACTATAAGACAAAGTGACGTTGCATTTCTATGCTTTAACTACGATAAAATTCACGCAGAATGTTTACTGGGTGGGTGGGGGGGGGGCGTTAGAACAAGCAAATAAAATAGCGGTAGAAATGCAAATGACAGAAAGTAAAGAAAATAGTTGACCTGTCAATATCCTTGAGATCTGATTAAATTTTGTTTTAAATGCAAAATGAATTTGCGATTAAATGCATGCCATTGACTGATTGCTCAGTGTGAGTTGGTGTATGTGAAGTGCGTTGTTGCATGTCTTGTGTACTTTGTCGAATTAATTAATGGTTCTGATATCTTTGATATGACAAGTATCTCTTTCTCAAAGGTAACTCCTGGATGAAGTTCGGTGACAGGTAGTCGTCAAACTCCGGAAATCGATTGCCAGCGCGTCTGCGGCGATTCCCGAGGCAGAGTCTCTCGCAGTCGGCCCGAGTGCGAAAGCTATTCAGCTTGGAGTTGCAAGCACTCCAACCACTCCAATCGCAACGACCAAGAAGGTGGTTGTAGACGTAATTTGGACGGTAGTACCAACAATTCGCCGTCTGGAGTTGTGGCCTACAAATCGGGGGCACTTCTGCAATGGAATTAGCCACACAGTTATTATTCCTCACGAAACCTTGGAAATTCTTGGAAATTAACTAAGTTTATAACGCTATTACCTCATCTTAACTTGTCGCAGTTTCTACAATTAAGTAAATTAAAAAAGGGAATAGAAATAAATTGGCCATAGCTCATTACTTGCAAATTATGGTTTCATTTAAAAATTTTCTATACTGTCGCTTAATTTGCCATTTTAAGCCCATTTGTCCATAATAATTTCCATATTGATTTATGCAATAGTTATTTGGGGGTACTTGATTTCCAACATCATGATTGAATTATTCCCACCTTTCACATAGTTTAAACACATAATTTTTTCATTATTAAGCATGGTTGAATTTAATACAGCAGTTTAAAAATTTCATTAAATTAAAACAAATGTTAAGAAGTGAAAGCGGCACTAGAAGATGTACGATGTAAGAGAGCACTTGCCAATTTCTTCGAAGTCGAATGCCCTCGAGGAAAGAAGGAGGCCAAGAACGAGGAGACAGTGGACGAGATTGGTGAATAACATTTTGCAAATGTCTCTTCAAGTGTGCGTGGTGTACTCGAATGTTCAAGGTGGGGAGAAAGTGGATTTATTTATTTCCTTCCCACCGACCAATCAGATGAAGAAGTTCGAAAACAGCTGCACGAATTCCAAATCACGTGACCTTATTTATTTCTCCCAATTTTGGGCTATTTTATTGCTCGATGCACCCCACACTCGAAATTCGTCCACAGGGCTTCAATAGAATTCGCAGTAAATTAGGGGTCAAATCACCAATTTGATTTCGCTGTCTCTCAAAAGTAGGTTTATGCAAATGTCAGTTAAAGGGCATTTAGATAGAAGTCCACTTTAAATACCCTTTTAACCCTTTAAAAATTTCCCAAAATTGGGTTAATGTTACCCACTTTGTCACTAATACTATTGCAAAGAAATCCGAAATCAATATATTTTTTCAAATGGCAGGCGTTTTGATAGTCATCATTAGCCCTTTAGCTGACTTCGGGCTTCACAGGGGAAGGAACATCAAAGTAACAGGAAGTCGAGGGGTGGGGAACAGAAGAGCGATTCACAGATGTAAAAGAGGCAGACAGATACAAAGGTAGAAAAAAGGTGAGGTGAGTACTGGGAAGTAGTCGAGTATGACATATAGTGGGTGATGGTAATTTGAAGTGAGAAGTCAACTGCCAGTTAATAGACATTTTTTGCCGTATGATTTGACGTTGCCCAGGATGAACCACGTGGAGGTAAGTCTATTGCACACCCCGGGCCACTTCAATATAAAGTCGCTCGCTTTTATTAGAAAGAAGTCTCCGAACTATTTCCCTCCTCTCATTGGGTTCTACTAAAGCCAATTCAATTATTCCTCCTTCAGGGTATTCGAGAAGCCTGGTGCTGGCACTATTTGATTCTTGGCTAGATAATTAGGCCAAGGAGTGTGATTGGCGACCAAAAAAGGCTTATTTCGTTATGTCGAAATACTCTTCTTCCATTGTTCATACTGTGGAGAACGCAACGTTAAAATGGGTGAGCGAAGGAAACTCATTTGGGCTCGAACATTTTGGATCGCGCCGATCGCGTTAGGGAGCCAATGCAGAAGCTTGCCAATCAAATAACAATCAATAGACAATGCATTGCCAGGTAATCCGAAACTACATTTAGTGGATAAGCTATGTGCCATGAGAATCACCACCTTCGTAAACGCATTCCAAGCCGTACGCTCTTTTTCCTCAAAATTGTTGAGGTAGCTTAGCCGTGGAGATTGATGGTGTTTAGCCTGGACTCTAAGTGCATCATCCCCTCAATTGTACCCTTCGAAATTCGCACTCCTTTTACGGTACTGCCCAGATGATGAAGTGGGAAAAAATGCATCCCATTTGCCTTTGGAGAGCTGAATCCGGTACAATTATTATTTGATGCACAAAACTTTTAAGTAGATAAATGAAATGTGAAGATTCCGGTATTGAAGTCATGGACTTCTTTACTGATAGGACTTTCCTCGCGCTCTCAAAGACCTGAGAGTATTTTATAAAACAATGCCTAGGTTGAAAATCACTACTGAAATAGGCACTTTTATCAAATGACAGTCTTTACGATAGTTATCATTAGCCCTTTAATTGACTTCGAACTTCACAGAGGGAAGGAGTATCAAAGTCACATGAGGTTGAGAGGGGGAATTGAAGAGTGATTCACAGATGTAAAAGAGACAGGCACAAAGGTAGAGAGAAGGGTAAGGTGAGTACTGTGAAAGTGTTGGAATATGATACACAGTGGGGGGTGATGGTAGTTTGAAGTCAGAAGTCACCAGCCGATTAATGGACTTTTCGTCGTATGAGTATACGTTGCCCAGGGTGC